AAAAAAAAAACCAAGAAGGAACTGAGTGGTTCATGTTATTCCAGACCTAAAGAAAAAAAAAACCAAGAAGGAACTGAGTGGTTCATGTTATTCCAGACCTAAAGACTATTTACAATTAGACCTAYAGTTTTCACTCTTTTCTAAACAGCCAGTGTGGACTCACAGGAAAACCTGGCTTGGAGGGGGGCTCTAGAGGTCAGGGCTAATGGCAGTTTTACCCCAGTTAACCACTTTTAATGTGAGTTTCCTCCTACATATCCTAGTGGGATTCCTCTGCGGCAATTTATGACAGCTGGTTTCACTGGGGGCTTCAGAGAAAAGTCTGCCATTTCTGCAAATATTACAGTTGGCTRTAGTTGGCTGTTCAATCCCTCCTGAGTGCCACTTCTTCTGGCTGAAGGGATCCAGCTCCCTCAGCTCCTTCTGGTGTGCCACGTGCAGCAGGGCAGCCCTTCACCAGCTCAGCAGGGACRAGGAAAATGAATCACTACACTACAAACAACAATTAAAATGAAAGCAAAGAAAACCCCCATGGTCAGGCAGGAGGGACTTTCTGGATTTTTCTTCCCTGCTCTGTAGGGAAGAGACATTGCATCACACGAGTTCCTATAGAGAAGTTTCTGAGGAAGCAACGCAGACTTTCACTGCACAGTGTGTGCCTTCCCTGCTTCCCACCCACAGGTACAAACTGTTCACCTCTCCCTGTTAGAGAGCATGGATAAACATTTTAAAGCTTACAGTTACAAATTCACAATGCTGTAGCTGCATCTAGATAGTGAGATGTTTGACCATATTAAAGATGAAGATTTGCTGAAGGCTCAAAAGTCATTATTTGCACATGCAGTATTTATTTAACAATGTGCAACACATTGAATGGACCAGGAAGTTAGCAACCAACACTAACATCCATTAGGAACTGAAATTAATACCAAACCCCAAAACAGCTCAYAACCCTCTATTTAAATGACAAGTTCCCTTAAAATWGTTGATTTTTCTCACTTGCAAAGCCATTGGATTTTCTTTTCCCTATCACTAAGGAGAGCTGTWGCTTATTTAAGCCCATTAAGACCCATTTTGGAGGTTGTGGATCCCTCACCAAATCATCTGCAGACAAAAACACTACCAGCTTGGAGACACGTGGAATTAATATTCCATAATTTATCAGTTTTGCTTAGGTAATCTTCATAGCATTGTAATGGTGCCAAGTGCTCACTCAGCCAACAGAAACCACAGATAAGACAGGAGAGGTACAACACAAACATTGCTCATATGGTCTTGGTCCACCTACTAAAGTAAAGAAAGGCTCAAAGCTTGGCAGTGTCAGTGCTCTCTGACACACTGCCACCAGAGGCAGCTGAGGCAATTCCCGAAATATTGGTAGTGTGGGAAGGATGTGACCCACACACTGTTTTTTTTCGTAGGCAGTGATTGGAAGCCTCTGTGCCTGATCACCRAATTCCTGTCCAGATCACAGACTGCACTGGGCTGACTCAGCACACAGCACAGGAAGGRCACGGGGGTGGCAGGCCTGCATTCGGGAAAAGATGGACACAACTGGRATGCCTGCCTCCACAGCTGCCATCAAAAATTGGGCTGCAGAAGGAGCAAACACTTGTGGTGGCCACTTTGAGCAATAAAATCTGGAAAGATACAAGCTCCAGTTGTTTCCCTGGGCAAGGGAAAAAAAGAAAAAGAAGGAAAAAAACCCAAAAGAAACTGCCTTTCATTCATCTTTTCTGCAAGTAGAAGTTTGCAAGGATCACACTTTCTAGCCTGTGGGTTGGTTCTGTGGTTGTCTTTTGAATCCTCAGTATCATTTCTCCATCACCCAAGGAGTGCAAACTCTAGACCAGAAAGTCCATTCTTACAAAGATCTTTACCACCACCACCTCCAAACATCTACTGATTTTGTACATATGCTGTAGTTTTATAAGCCTATTTTTTTTTTTTTTCTTAATGAAGGCAATGTAACAGATCTCGTGTGGATACTCTCTGAGAATTCAGGAATTCAGGCATGCTGAGCTTTAAGGACAGAACCCTCCACAGGTTAACAACTGGTTTTCACACTTCTCASAGGTGTTAGTTTCGAGTCTACTGCAACGTGACCATTTAACCATTAGGATCACCCTGTGATTCTTATGGACAAAACGCGTTGTTCCAAAGACAACATTGTTCCAAATTCTTTGTCTTACAGGAAACAAAGTTTGGTGTATCTCAATTAAAATTGCTTGTTCTGCTGCACACCCTGAAGCAATTGGTAAACCAATTTTTTGTAATTCACCATTCAAATTCACAGTATTTTATTGCAATTTCTGTTCAGATTTGGGGGGCAGGGTTGTGAGTAGGAATTGGTGGTACTATACTTAAAGCTGATGTAAGGCCAGACTGACACCTGGGACGAAGCCACATGAAAGAAGGGACTGAAAAATGGCAAGGATGGTCTCTATCTCCTTGCTACCACTGCCCTCTAGCCATTCAGGCAAGCTTTTGCAACCCTTCTTTATGTGTTGTAATTGATCTCAGAGTCGCATTTGCAGCAGATTTCCACAGGCCTCAACTCTACCAAACCAGGTAGCAAACACACAACCRTACATACAATTCCTGTTTTCTGGAACAGAACTGCACATGCCCTCCACCCTTCCTGCAATTAACTGAGCTGCTATCAACTTGCAAAATACACCACAAAACATAACAGTCCTACCCAGAAACAAAACAAAGTGTATTTATTTTTGTTTTCTTTCAATCTGAAAGCATTGTRTTTACTCTCTGTGAAAGGATATTTTTGAAGGGGTGTAAGTTGTTGAGTCTGTGTTATTCAAGTGCTATAAGCACAGAAAAAAACCCCAGATCAGAGCCGACATTCTTACTGCTGTACTCTGCACATTGCAAGTATKTGACAGCTACAGGATCAATTTTGCAGGACACATAGCAAGCTGGGTGGCAGAACCACCTGGTTTGCTTGCTCGTCATTTGCTTATAACTCTTTTCCTCTTTCAAGCTGTGGCTGGACAGCAGAAACTGAAACACCACACAAGTAAAACTTCTGTGATAATTTGGACTTTTAATGAACAGTAGCAGTCAAGGAAGACCAGCTTTCATCACTCTTTAGCAATTAATCCATTCAAATGGTTTGACCATTTAATCCTTGTCCACAAYTTTTAAACAGAACATAAGGAAGTGTCCCTGGGCTCAAGCAATAGAACTGGACTTAAGTTACTGCATCAATGCCAAAAGGCAGAAGGGAAATTGCAATACAGATGATGGAGATGGTCAGTAGGACACAGCCACACACACAGATGGGCCACACACATCTCCCCCAGTGTTTTGATTCTCAGCAACACGCTACATAGGTAACATGAACTGAGACAGATTCAAAAGCAGGTTTAGTGCTCAGAAAAAAAAAAAAAAGCTAACAGTCACAAAGCACCAAGGACACACATTTTTCTTAATTTTTTATTCTCATATAAAAACATTTAAAATGTACACTATTTACAGGAAATACAGATTTCAGCCCAATGATTACATCCATTTAGAGAATACAGAAAGYGTATTAAAAAACAAGAACTTCATCGTTTAAGCAATGAATTATAAAGAAATCATACTAAAGAAATCTACACAGGTCATCTTTTCCCAAGATGGAAGGTGCTTTTTATTTGGTTTCTTGTTTTTGGTTGTGTTTTTGCTTTTTGGGTTTTTGGTGTTTTTAAGACATGCTGAAACAATTAATTTGAACCAAGTACATCTCTATTTATTAATTCTCAGCTGTTTACACAGAACCACTTCAGAGCAACCGGTTATTCCTAACCCTAAGAAAAACAGGTTTTCTCACGCAAGTTTCTTTTCCTGCAATCTCCTAGTGAAGGACTACATAAAAAGATGAAAGTCTGTTCTAGGCAACTGGGACTCTACATGTTTTCTTGTTTCCATAGATGTGGAAACAGCAGATTTGACATTTTTTTTAACTACATTATTGACTTATGTGGAAAACCACACAAAAGTAAATTTGACATTTCTGTGCCAGCAGGCAGTACTGCCACAATACTTCACTATTAACTGAAGATCTAATAGAAGAAAAATTTAAATGTCCACTCAAGAACAAGAACTAAAGAAATTCCTATAAATGTCAGTTATGAGGTCCAAGTTTTGTGAAGTTCTCTTTCACAGGATGTAATGTTCTGGAGTCTGATATTATATCATCACCCAAATCATCTTCAGGAGCAAGGAAGGGAGGAATGGTAAGCAGTCACGACAAGAGTAAAAATCAGCTGAAAAAGTTTGAAGTGGCAAAACCTYCTAAGTGTGTCATACTCAATACCTGATAGGTCTGTAAAAGGCATAAATATGAAATTATTTTGAATATGTAAATGTTAGGCACCCTCATATTCTGGATCAAGGTGCTATGTATGAATATTCAGAAGTTCAAACAAACTACTTCATCACAAGAAAATTAATTAAACTAATTCTGTTAGGTGAAAATGTATAAATACTACCTGACAGACTCCCAACTACATTGCTCAGATATTTGGTATTACAGAACAGCAAAAGCAGGGCTAACTAGCTGTAGTTGGAAAGGCACTTCCATTTCTCTGTCCCAAGAAGTCCTCAGACTGCAAGCTGCTCGATCTTATCCAGAGACACCACTGTGCACTAGTTTTAGGCTCTCAACACCACTACTGGCAACTGCTAAAACAGGACCAGTGATAACAGTGCTTACTGACCCAGAAACTCATCCTTGTCTCACTGTGGCCTCCCATTTTCAGCTAGTCACAGCTAATAAAAGAATCCTGTGCTTTGTGCATCATTTAACTTCTTTATTTCACAAATACAAAAGCTGCAAGCTGGCCTGAGCAATTTAAACACCTAAACTATCCATCTAAACTATCCCTATGCTACTGGTTACTTGTTAAGTACATAGCAGGCRGAGGACAGACTGCAGGGATGGTGCTAATTCAGTGGCTTTTGTAATACAGTTCAGAACCTTGTGATATTTAAAGAGGTCTGTTGTACATATCCATATTTATTTATATATATGTGTATGTATTATAGTACAAAGCACTCATACTACTGTTCTTGATTCTCAGCTTACAAAATAACACTGCCTTTCCAATACACGTGACTATCTCCCATGCCAAATGTTTCCCATATGCCTATGACATAATTTTGTGTCTTTCCTAACTGATCTTAACATCAGTGCTCTTAACGATCTCCTAGCTCCTGGCTGAGCCCTTTTACTCACATTTGACTCTATGTGACTGTAAAGATTCAGAAGAATGTACAATGTAGTTGTATTGCAGGGGGAAAAGAACCTGAGATAGTCACCTGGTTTTCAAATGTGTCTATCTGCATTCCTCTTCCAGTATGTCAGCAAAGGAAAATCCTCCAGAAAAATGAAACACTTTTGCTCACACAAATCCAAGACTCTGTGTCTTAACCTAGGGTTTTCACATGTACTGYTAACAATGTAAATCTAATTTAAAAAAAAAAAAAATTACATGCTTCTGACAGAATCTTGGTTTTGAGGCAGATACATCAAATCCAACAACTGCCAAGCTAATTCCTGACCTTCCTGGAGAACACCAATGTTTTGTTTTTTGTTTTTTTTTGACAAAACTGACAGAAGGAAAACAAGCTATCAGTTGCAAGGTTAAATACTCTAAGCAGTTGCAAAGAAAATACTCAGCAAATTGTCTGATCAGAAACTTCTTCCCAAAAAACAAGGTTAACTTCACAGTTTCTAATGCCCTCTTTATCCCTTCAGAGACAAGTTTAACTTAAACACTTTTCTGACATTTATAAATTCCTGAGGTATTTACTACAATTCGTGTTTATCATCAAACCTCCGAACCCAGAAAGAAGTTATATCAACTCCAAYCTCTGCACAAGATGCAGCTGCTCATCTCCTTAGTAGACAGCCTGATAGAAGCTTCAGTGATGGACCACATCACTACCTGGAAAGTCAGTTTAGTTGWAGTTTCAAGTGCAATTAATGCTGATTTTCAAAAAGCCTTCTTGTAGGCTTCTAAAGAGAGTTATTTTCTGCACTTCTACCATGGAGATACCTACACATTAGTGGATCCTAAGGAGTAAGTCATTAACCACTGCCTTCTAGAGTTCAAYCCAGAACATGACATTGAAAAGGTTGCTAGGGGATCTCACTATGCTTGAATATAATGCAGAAACAAATCACAGCCAGCTAACAAATGCTAACTGGGCTTTCCATGACATCATAATTACAAAATTCACCTGCTTTATTTGGCTTCTCTTAAACTGGTTAGCAGGGTTTTGATGATCTTGTTACCTTCCTGTGAGCAGAGATGGGAAAAACAGCTATTGTCTTTAAATCTTTTGTACCATTGTGGTCAACAYCTGACATATACAAGAATGGAAGCACTCCTGAAATTGCAGTTTACGCCAACTTCACCTGAAGAATACTCATGTCACTGAGAATTGTTAAGGACAGAAGTACTGTGACACTGGTTGTCCTTTAAAATCACCTGCTATAACATGCTAACAATTCTGRTAATCCCATAAAATGTCTTTTAAAACAAAAACATAATTTTGCATAAATGGAGCAACTTTTACCYGTAAAGCTTTCTTTTTTCCTGAACTAAGCTTCATTAACAATTGCTCTAAACATTTCCTACAAATAGAAAATACCAATCAAATCTTGACTAAAGGAAAATAAAAGGATTGCATGGATTTTAATATGAAAAAAATATGAAAATATAAAATTCTTGTTCTTCAGTTTTTAAGAAAACTAGTTTCTAGGATACAAAATCCAGAAGGCTGTCAGATGACAATACAACTTATGAAGTACAGCTTAGCTACACTATTTTTCTGTTGTCTTGAGATCTATTTTTAGAGGGTGATTTTGCATAAATCCTGAGTTATGTTATAAAAAGGGGAAAAATGACAGTGATTTTCATCCTGCTAGAAAACATRCTTAGAAGTTGTATTGATTTCTATTTAAAGAACCTATTGTTCTAAAAATTAGGATTAAAATGCCCCAGAAGAAAGCAGGCTCTTGAATTTTGAGGACATTTTCTAAAGAATTTGTGCAACCACCCTTTAGACTTTTTTTTCAAATGATGATCAGTCAGCTTGCTAAGGCATTCTGGAGGCTAAGGCATTATCTAGAACGTGACATGGYTACCCATGTCACTAGGTGATCCAAATGGATGCTGCTGTACAGAAGTAACAGCAAAGACAACAAATAACTGGTACTTTCACAGAATTGTYAGGGTTGGAAGGAACCTCTGGAAATCATCCAGTCCAACTCCCAYGCAAGGCAGGGTCACCTAGAGCAGGTGACACAGGTATGTGTCCAGGTGGGTTTTGAATGTCTTCGGAGACAGAGACTCCATGATATCCTTGGGCAGCCTCTTTGAGTGCTCTGCCACCACCCTCAATGCAAAGAAGTTCTTCCTCATATTGAGGTGAGCTTCTTGTGTTCTTAGTTTATGGCCATTGCTTCTTACTCCTTTGACATGGAATCATATTCTTAAGATATAYAGGAAGAGCTTGTAGGCATATTCTTACTTACAAGAAATAGTAGCATTTAATATTAAAAAAAAACTCTTCAAGAGAAAAACATAACGCAAGAGGATACCTCCAGTAATGGTAAAAATTCTCACATATGACAGACATGTGCATGAAGAATTTCTTGCACATGTCTGTCATAAACAAATGAAGGATTTTTTTAAGCATTACGCTCATTGAACTAATTTCGAAAAGGATTTGAAGYAGAAGTGAATAATGGTACAGCTGCTGTTTTACAGTCAATTGTTATGCTTTCTACAGAGTATTGCTAAAAACACTATTTAAAAGCACTATTTCAAATAGGAAATAATGAGTTATATCATATGTAAAAGCATTTCTAAAAAGGGTTATTACAAAACTTTCCCACACTTTTTATGCTATTTTCARGCTCTACTTTCAGTTGTGTACTGATCAGAACAAGTGCAACTTGTAGATGTTCAGARTTTAACCCAGACTTTCCATAACCTTCAGTAATGCTGCTCTTTCTGAGTTGTGGTTAAACACTTCAGTTATCCTGGTTACTCAGTTGGCCTGTAAGCATTCACAGGCTGTTCTTCACCAACATCTAGCATCAACATATCTAATGGAACATGAGGCTTGTCATAGCCAGAARCGATGAAGCAGCTGCTTGGAGTGACTGTTTGCTGTGTTTCTGTGGTAGAAATCTCTGCCCCTGAAGACTTACTGCATGTATCCATTTGGCTACTGTCAGAACTGAAGTAACTCTCTTTTATTTCACCATTTTGTCCATCAGCATCATAAGACACCTCCTCTGTGCTTTCCTGCACAGGCACCTCTTCTACTTTGGCTGGTGCCTCTGAGGRAAGGACAGAAGATTCTCCTTCAGAGGAATTCTGCTCACGAGTAACAGTTTCTTCTTCTGGATCTATTTCCAGCAAGGTTACTTCACCATTCACTGGCAGCACTGAGTGATCTGACGGGAAGCTAATCACGGATATGTACTTCCCCTCTGATTTTGATCCCAGTAAGGCACCTGAGTTCAGGTTTCTCATCACACTGGCCTTGAATGAAAAAAAAAAAATCACTTTTTGAGTTTAAAGGTTGAAAAAAAAAGTCATTTTTAATAACAAATTTAACAMCATTATAATCAATTCCAAATAAAAACTGCAAAATTAAAATCTGGCATGGTCATTAGCCTATGTCCATGAGTTCAGCTGTTCCACAAACACTTGTATGCAAGATCTCAAAAATGCTTTCTTTGGGCAGGCACATTTGCAAGGATAAAATCCATTTCATGTCACCCACCGTATTTTGAAGTTTTGAGTATGGAGGAAAACAGCAAAAGAAGAAAAAGGTGTATATACTCTTCAGACGGGGAAACCTTTCATAGTCCATAGTTAATGAGTGTAGAGTGGCTGTGATAATTTCTGGTACCTGTCTCAACCAGGAGGGATGTGAACAACATACCCAGTAGCCCTATCAATGCTGAAGTCTCCCAACTTATTTCACAAAATCACTAAGCAGYCCCTCAACGCTGCAACAAACTTTGATGTTTGCTCCAGCTTGTCTTACACAATTATGATACGTCTTCAGGCCTTTTAGATTCTTTAGGCCTTTTTTTTTAATGTCTTTTCAAGAATACATACACATGAAAAATAAAGTAGGGCAAATTTTCAGCTATTTGATGGTGTTCCCTAAAGATAACAGAATGTCTAGGAAGAAAGAGTTAATTGTGTCCTTTTCCAAATTTCATAATTCACTATGTATGAATATCACACACTCTCAAGTATTACAGATATGCAAATTTCTTAATAAGATATATAATCACTGTTTTTTGTAAAAAAAAGAATCTGACTGAAAAAACAGATGGAGGTACATTAGGAAGAAAGAGATGTATATAGGAGGAGGAAAGAGGAAGAAAAATGATGTTAYGAAAAATTACAAATAGGAACAAAGAACCTCCCAGTCTGTATTAGTGTTAGAACTGAGAGGGCCATCAAAACCAGATGATCCATTCTGAYTGTGCTTTTCAAGAGTCTGCCCTGATTAACAGGTTGTGAGACTGTAGCTTTACATTCGTTCTTTCACGGTGTGCTGACTTCCTTAGAAACTGCCTTCATCTCTCACTTCAGTCCCATTATCTTTCCCCTCAGTAACCCTAATACCTRTTGATGCTACTCTGTGGTTTAAGCTGTATCAATAAAAACATTACATTTTGGAGAAACCAACTGGACAAACAACCACCACCACAAGCCAAGCAAACACTATCTGAAGAGCAGCTATTAGTCATCTAAGTGAGTTTTATAAGCAGCTGTGTGAACACCACTTAAGYGAGGCAATCCCCTGGGGAATCTAGGGCTGCCACTGAAAAACTAGTAAAAAGTACATTCAAGTAGCTCCTGACACACTACAGACTAGCTACCATTCAGCCATCAATGTCTCTGAATCTTCATTTTCTGTTATGTGGAAACAGAATACTACATAAAGAATATTCAGAGTAATTCATGGAAACCACTTATTCATAAGAGCAGATGCTCAGAAGTTAGTTGCAAGGAACAGATAACAATCAATAATGGGCAGATAGTTAATGTTAAGAACAGTTGATAGGATTTATGTATATTTTGAGAATCTCTTTATACAGGTATATTGGAAATATATCCAAACTGTTGGATACTTATGCTATACAATACTGATCCTGAAGGGACCAGAACTTACAGTTTTTCGGGTGGGGGTTAGCAAAAATCTGACTCAAATAATCACACAGCAAGTGATAAGAGAAGGTAATTCTCTGTGTAAAATGGAATACTTGAGGAATGCGAATTAAAATATTACAGAAAACTATGGTTAAAAGCTGCATTTTCAGCTTTCCATCCCTCCCCATACCAGTACATGCTAAACTGAAGCTAAAACCAAAACCCAATGAGTTCTTGCTTCTGTCCCTTTAGGATTTTCACAGAGCTTTAAAAAAATCAGTCTTAAAATGTGTTAAAGGGATAGCCTCATATTCTACACAGGTCTTGCATTTCACAGTGAGAGCTAGCCATACTTAGGGAGAGACTTTGAAGATAAAATACATATTCTCTGTACAACTACATTCAAGACTTCGCAAAAAAGGAAACCCATTTTTGTCTTGGCAAGTTCTTGACCAAGGCAAGATGGTGCAAAGACACTCCTAKTCCCATTCATGAAAGAAGGAAGCAATCAGAAGAAAAAACTCCTGCAGGTTTCCTGGTACCAAAGGTTTTTTAAGAGGCATGAGTCATGATAAGACAATTTAGCAACCTATGCAGTTGTTTCCAGCTCCAAAGGAAAGAATCCCAGGTTATTACCCTAACTAGAATGCCATTCAAAAGACATTAAGTCATAAGGGCAATTAAGATACAGTTACTATTTGAAGAGAAGTATTTGCTATGGGCAAGTTAATATTTTTCTTTTATGCACATTATCTAATACAAGCAAACTGCCAGCCAGTGAGCTTAAGATGGATATCTGCAGGATTTCATGGCATGTGCATGTACTCACATAACTTCCTATCTCCAATGACAGCACCTGCGCTTTGACTTTTAGCTTCCTTTCACTGCCTCAAGACACTGGGAGATACATTGCTGTAATGTATCAGGCTCATGGGCACAGAAAAATAACACATCCCAAGGAATCCTGAACAGTTAAGGTAATTAACAGATTCTTTAACTTCCTTTTCTAATGACATGTCCAGCTATGAATTCCAAGWAGTTTTCAGGTGTACATTTCATGGAGGAGAGTTTGAGAACTCAATTTCAAATCTGATTATGATGATGGCAAAAATAGGTGTAGTTTTTGCATAGTTCCACAAAACATTAATGCTATGTCCATTTATTTAGAAGACCACGTTACTGCCCCCCATAGATACTCACAGGGAAAAAAAAAAAAATCACAAAAGTAATGAAGCAGCTTCTCTCTTGTAAGATGGCAATTACTTGTGACAAGTACTAGTCAATACTTACAAGAAAAATTAGTTTCTCCACATCAAAAATACACTTTCTATAACAAAAAAAACCTCAGAGCTGCAAAGAAAATTCTCAAGTGTTTTGTGAATATCCTTAAGTGTTCAGCAAATACTGAGAACACAGCCTTGTCATTCCTGTCAGAATCAGAGAAAGCATCAGCAGGTAGCAGAAAAGTTGGCTTAAGTAAGACTCAACTTAAACTTTTAGTTCATTCTCTTATAGAATGGTTGTTTTCTACCCACAAAAATATTTGCCACCACTTAAAGATAAAAGRCACTGAAGAAAAAGATAGCGAAGTTAAAGCAGAGAGATAGATGCACACAGCATATCACTAAGTTAGGGCCAGGTTCCTTTAAAAGTGGGTAAGCCCTTATCACAAATCTTAGAACAAAGATCTAATACAGAAAAAACCACAGGACAAACTGCAATGACTCAAGATGATGTATGTAAAGAGAAGCCTCTTGTAATACTTCTTGTAAAATAAATAAAAGGAAGTTTTAACTATAGCTGAACTGCTGAAACATCAGATTCCCCTGATCCAGGGAGAAGACTAACATGAAGTGTCATAAARGAATCTGTCCTACTTCACATAGGCATACTCCTGATAGGATCCTACTGTTTATAATGATGCTTATAACATTTAAACAAACATGCTTTCTGATGAAGACAATCATTCATTGCCCATAGCGAATGACAGCTGCACTGTGGGAAGCAGGATAAAGATAATTCTTGGGAGTCACAAACAGCATAGAAAATGCACTAAAAAGGTTCTTGAGCTCTGACAGGCAAAGGATTATTTTTCTTTTCTCTGAGTATATGAGACTTGCATATACTCAAGCATGTGAACTGCTTGATGGTTACTCTTTGCTGGAAAATTCCAAGTTGCTGGCAGTCACTCAAATGATGTTTTAGCATCTACTTAAAGCCACCAGGAAGCAGAAGACTGGAAAAGAGTGATCCTAAGGTGGGAAATCTTGCTCAGCCTTCCAACAGATAGAAAAACTCCCTGGACATTTTTATTTTCAGATAATGTCAGGTTAGGGACAATGATCATAACCTATACAGAAAGAAATGCCTAGTACATATTCAAAGGTCAGTGAAAGGCTCTAAGGGACATTAAGTCTATAAAGACAATGCCATATAATTAAACTTAYTGTTTATAATAATTATTTAAATTGTTTATTCATTACTTTAAATTACTAATCATAAATTAGTTATTTATAAGTTCTTAACTGTTCATTTTACATTTCCATAGTATTCATAACACCTGTATTGACACCACCTCCATGAGCTGTGCAACTCACATTTGTCACTAGAGACTTCAAATGGACAGAAATATAGAATATCCTGATCTGGAAGGGACCCACAAGAATCAGGGTCTATCTCCTGACTCCACTCAGGGCAACCTAGAAGTCAAACCATACATCTCAGAGCATGGATCAAATGCTTCTTGAACAGGATTCAGGCAGTGACCACTTCCCAGGGGAGACAGTCTCAGTGCCTGACCACCTAGCTAACAGTATTATAAATAGTTATAGGCTTCATCTAGCTCCATAACAATAAAATATGAGGTAGAATGTGAACCAGACTGTGGTTCACAAAGTATACTGCCCAGTAAAATGAGAATATGGGCACACAAATGRGTTTGCTACAAGGTGAGCTCAGGCATGAAGTTGGAGCACACATCAGGAAGCTCACAGGCATTAAGGTGCGCATCTTCTATTTGTGGTATTCTTTTTCCTTATCCTTTGGATGGGATATCAYATCGGTAATGGAAAGCTCAAGTAACTGCAGACTCATTGACACAGCACAGAAATCCTGTATGAGCCAAATTCTGCTACAATGGAAGGTCCTTATAGAAACTACTGTTGTGTGTACACAGGACACAATGTTACATATTCAGATAATTACATGCTGGTTAGAAGGTGACAAAAAGTCTCCAGCAACACTACAAGTCTGTGTGTTTTCATACTGAGGCCTAGCGGCAGATGTCATCAGAGAGGTTTCTCTCATYTGATTTTTTAAAGCCTACAGTGCGAATAGCTACCTCTAAACTAGTCCCCTGGCTCCATCACAGTCCATTGAAAGAAACAGGATTTTTAAGAGAGCATTTTGTCTGACCAGAAGTATATGCAATTTCAGAACAAGATGAATCCTTGTGCTGCACAAGCTGGCGGAATAGATCACTGCTTTACTACAAAGGGACCACCTCTGGCTTGGATAGCTCCATTTAGTCACTGCAATCTCACCTCCTAATATTCTATTCCAAAGAATGCAGACTCTGGAAGGATCTTAGGCATTGACCATGGAGGGGTCATTTTAAACGGTTTTGAAACTGAAGAATATGGAATCGAAAATCATTGCCTACTCCCCCTATAAATGAGACTTCCTCCATCCACTGAGATGACAAACTCTTGCTATGATTACTCTCTACTACGGCCTCAGGTGGCAGTTCTTTGAAGTTGTGGTAGTTCATTTTTTGTGACTAACATGACACCAGGAGAACATTACAACAGTTGTGAGATACTCCACTCTTGCCTGACATGAAACCAAGGAGTTCTGCTGCTCCTTAAGGAATATCCACTCTGTTTCCCAGAGATAGCTGTAGGGAGTTTTCAAGACAGAACAGAAGCTGACCTCTCTTCCCTGTAACTGCTCAGTGTGAGAACTGACTTCCCCTAGTCGTTCTTCCCTCCTCCTGCAGCTCTATTGGTCCCTCCCCTTACTCTGCACATCCCTAATTGTAGCAATTAGCAGAATTCCAATACTGCCATTTAATGAAGGAATCTCACAACTCCTGTGACAGGACAAAAGGAAATGGGTGCAAAATGAACACATGGATTCTTTTTCTAAATACAAGAAAATATGTGAGGGTGGTGAAGCATCGGAATAGGTTGCCCAGAACAGCTGTGGATTTGCCTTTCTTGCCGGTATTCAAAAGCGGTCTGGATATGTTCATGGGTAACCTGCTCTTGTTGATTCTAGTTGAGCAAAAGGGTTGGACGATGACTTCAGAAAGTTTCTTCTCATGTCAGTGATTCTGTAGTTTTGTGTCTCTGCTACTGGAATGAACACAAACCTGCCTAGGTATACACACACTGAGTTTTTAAGAATCAAGTTTTTTAACTAGACAAACTACTGCTACTTCAATTTAAGAGAGACTGAAGTCTAGCCCTAAAAAAAGAGAGGCAACTGGTTGCAAAGGCCATCAGAATATTAGATTAGCATAATTTCTACATACCATGGTAAAAAAGAAAAACCAAAAAAACAATCAAATAAACCCAAGAGACTGGTATAAAGATACAGCAGTTATAGAACTTACCAAAGACTTGGGCAGCGTTATGTTCTTTTTCCTCAGTTTCTTGCAGCCACAATATACTGTCGGGATTACAGTCAAGCTCCCAATAATAACACACAGAACGATGATACTATGTGTACCTAAAAAGTTAAAGCAAAATCTACCAGGAATTTTGGAAAAACAAGCCACTGCTGTATCATTTATATGAATAACTTCAGAAATTGTAATAACTCAGAATGCTTAGCTGCAATGGGTGAATTTGTCAATCTACAACCTTTTTGCATTCAAGGAAGCTTAATTCATAAAATTTTTATGGAATAAATAAAAATTAGAATGACAGTAGCTTTTCAATTTATATAAACAAAATTACATGTTTATAGAAATATATTAATTTTGCAACTGATTTTTTGTTCCTAAGGGATGACGATGGGGATGATGAGATTTGTACATCATCCATGTGATAGCAAACTAACTAACATAACTACACAGAGTATATGTACAATAAGAGTCAAATGTGAAATATTCCAAAACACAGAATTTCTAACAATTATTAGTAGGACTCCACTAGTCTGACTCTTCTTAATGCCTTCCCCCGTCACTCATACTCCTGGATCCTGTGTGTGCAAGAAAAACAAAACTGCTTCTATCAATTTTATCTCTGCCATAATGAAGTACAACTACAATGTTTGTAACAGGTTCAGAGACATAAAGCTGAGTCACTATCTGCCTTTTGTTCTCTTTAATTAAGAAAAAGGCATCAATACCTTACTTTAATGACCATAAGTTTACAGAGTCAAATCAAGTCTACATACTTCTTCCTCAGTGATGAGGCTGAACAAAAAGCCAGCTGCTAGAAGAGACAATGCCTATGAAAACCGCATAGCTCAGTGAATGATCCATTTGTGATTTTTTAATTACACCAGTGATCATGTGCAGTGGAAACACTGTTTGGGATACCAACAACACAGGAAAAACACCCCAAAAAGAAGTCAGGGTCACTTGAAAATAATTACATTATCTGTAAATGTCAGAAATATCAAAATGCATTTGGAAAAGAATGACTAATCTTTCCCTATTTTTTCTATTCTCCCATGGCTATAGCTTGCTAGATCAGATCTGTCTTCAGATTCGGTATGTTCTTACTATAGTATTAGAATCCTCTTACTCAATGTCTGCTTGAGAGGAATAGAAGTGCAGCTTTCCTCTGATGGAGTGCCAACTATCAGCTCATCAAAAATTCCTGTTGCTGAAATACAGTAAGTGGAAACTTCATCAGGAACTGGGATTTTGAGGCTACACTTATGCATTGTACAGTTGTCCTCATAGAGCTCTTCAGTCTGCAAAAAAATGGAAGACTTGTTATATCATTTGATTCACAAGAACAATGCTACAGTACCTTCCACACTTCCAAACATGTTAAAACACTATTAGATGTGTTTCCTAGATCACCCATATACCTTGCAAAAGCTGTGTGAACATCAGATTAGTGGCTACCTTAAGGTGTTGTATTTAATCAGACCTTGGTATTTTCCAGCTAAAATTGTGGTTCATAGTATAGATTCACATTCCTAATTAATTTATAAAACTTGTAGTTAAATGCAAATGAAAAGGCAACTCTAAGTAAACACACCTACTGTAATTTTGCTCAAGTTCATCTTCCATGATTGCTAAATAAACTGGTATAAATACCTTGAACGGTTATTTTCTTAAATGAGAAGTCTCTTTGGACAAGTGAGAGAGGCACAAGTAAAGTTATCAATGTTTTAGCATGTACACAGAAACAGCAGCATGTGATGAGGTAACTCTTGTCTTCTGTATAGCTAATGCAAGAATCTAATTTTTGTGGTAAGCGTTCATCTGGACAACAAAATCTAGACCTTTCATTCACATATGTCATTGCAATGCACTCAGCATTTTAGGTACTGAATTGTTTTCTCGGTATCTGTTAGCTCTATGTATCATTGGAGTAAATCCCTCGTATAGGCATTTTAGGTAAATAAGCGTTTTTAATTTTAAATTTTATTTTTGGAACTTACCTCATTTTTACTATCCCGAACAGTCACCAAGTACATAAGCTTTGAATAAATGTCTTCAATACAAGAAAGAGGGAATACAAGATGGTGAATATCAACCATGATTTTATCACCATGTCTTGAGAGATTCAGTTTTGGTGGTCCTATTTTGCCTGCAACACATTGCACCACTGCTATTAGACCAAAGATTTTAACATAAAATATGGTATTAATTGCTTTCCAAAATTCACCAGAGATTTGAGAAGAATTATGTGTTTATTTCCATGCAGTTAATATTGCAAAGTTGTGGTCAGACCTCTCTGTTGCTTATAAGTAATGGAGGCATTTGGATACATTAATTAATCAGTTTCTAAAATGGACACAGATTGTCCATGAAGAATTTCACTGGTAAGGAATTCATCGTTCGTACACACATAAGGCCATAAAAATTCAGCTGACAACAGAAAAAAAACTAACAGCAATTCAACATACACATGAATGAGAACGAAACACAAGATCCTGCTGACTAGATGCCATCATAAATCATCTCAGTTAAAAACAACACTGTACTGAAACAAAAGCTATACAAAAAGCTAAATAAATCTCACCGTGAGCAACATTTTGAAATTTGGATTTCCCATGGCAGTGGCCTATGTGAATTTTTTGTGTCTAATGGTCTGACTGAACATAAGTTTCTTGTTCAGTGGGAAAAGGACTTTGTCTCTCTTCAACATGACTATAAATTTTCTGGAAACTGTCACACTCAGCATTACTACCATGACTTCTGTCCCTTTATGAAGAAACCAGCCATTACTTCAAGTCATAGGCCTGTTGGGTGAGGATGGAATCATAGCAGAAAATGAAGAGGTACTCCATTCCTTCAGCTCCAGCAATGCAGAAATTCAGCTCTAGCCAAAGCATAGCCCAGGTCAGAGAGAATCTCATGGGCCATGATCTGTCTGAAAGCTGGGAATGGAGCAAGCATGACAAGAAGTCTCTTGGTCTTTCCTCACTGTGTTCATTCCCTTTGTACAGCCCACGGCAATGCCAGGACCTGCCACACTGGACTGTAGACACAAAATTCACTTCTACAGTAATGATGTTAAAGACTGATTTTTCCCAAAGCAAGATTTATATGAAGGTTTTACATGAAGAACTAGTAACTAAATTATCCAGTTACAGCTTCTAGATAATATCTAGATATCTGAAGCTATCAGTACATGGCATGTTAATGTCAAGCAAGACATCACTACTTCAATGATGCCTAAAGATCCATGTTGTCTGGTGACCGTTTCCTACCCTAAATTGGTGTCTGGGGCACCAGGCAAGAATATGCAAGACTGCATCATCAGCACCACCTTCTTGTCTTTAGACATTCTAAAACAAATTCTCAGATACCACGGAGTCAGGTAACAAGTACCAGAAAGTTCCTACTAAGTAATCATTACACTTCATTTCACCCTGGACTCCTGGCTTTAAGATATTTACAAATGCAATGCATTAACAGAGCAAAAAGACTAATTACTAACTTCCTAAATTTTTGAAGAAATTACAAGGTTTAGTTTAAATACAACTTACCATGCCTTTGCAAAATAAACTCATTTGTCTCAACATATTCAGACTGCTGTGACCCAACAACAGCTTTAACTCGAAGCCAATGAGACACGTAAGGGTCACATATTTCCTCTGAGAGATCACAAAAATGAGCTGAAGTGTTCACACAGGTTGAGACATTCTTATAGCGACCTAAACTGTAAAACAGATCAAGTAATAGTTAATATAATTTCAACTGCACAACTCTGTACAATACACTGCCTGTAATAAAAAAATGAGGTGGTGAGGGTGGTCAGAACCTGTGAGGACACAGATTGCCCAGGGAGATTGTGGAGTCTTCTCCCCTAGGGATATYAAAAAGCCAGCTGGACATAGTCTTGGATGACCTGTTCGAGCAAGGGGTTTGGACCCAATGTTCTCCAGAGATCTATGCCAACCTCAACTATCCTGTTACTTGACAAATTTTTCTATAATTTACACTTGGGCAACCTTCACCCTACATGACTTCACCACATAGAAACAAAAGAATTTACCACGGACTGACTGCTTTTCTATGCTTCTAGAGAATATCAGGTATAGGAAATAACAAAACAGTAAGAACTTACTTGTAAGGCTTGATTTCCACAATAAAATGAGGAGTTTCAGACAGAGATGGGTACTGCCAATGCAAAACTGTTTTAAAATTTTCAGATGTTATTACCATCTCCATTGGTGAAGGCACTAGAAGAAAGAGAACAACTGCACTTTGATAAACAGACTTTTGCAAACGTATGAACAGCCAAATGCACTTCTAAGTTATTTGGAAAAGAAAACATGCTGAACATAACAACCACAAACACTTCCCCCCTAATGAGCTCGTTTGTCACCAGTACAAACACCTATGAGCTCTGTAAGCAGATTCATTATTCATCTCTCCTGCAAAGACAGCTTTTGTCCTCTTCACAACAACACTCCATCATCCATGCACATTGGAAGCAAGTCCATCAGCCCATATCAAGTTCATAAGCAGTGATGATTGTACCCCTGTGTCAGTCTTTTACAGACAAACCAGCAAGACAGACAGTAAGACTTTACTCAACTTAGAGGAGATTAGCCTAATTCTGAAGATTTCTCTCGTTCAGAAATTGGAGTGGGTGGGGGCCGAGATGTACCAGAGATGGAGCATCAAGGCCAAAATACAACAGGCCTGTTAGGGAAAGCCTGAATTGCACATGAATTTCTAACAGTGATACTTCTGCCACTCCAGTGGTGTTTTCAGTAAGCCGTGATGACCAAAGTAAGCTACAAACACCTGTAAGGAATTTGAATACTGAAGCTCTCTCCATGTAGAGGAACACATCTGAAGTAYGCTTAGCAAACAACATCAGAGGTAATATAGTAAAGCAATGCTAAAATAAGAAGCCACATGACAGTTTTCCTTGTGCATCTACAGTTTTCCTGTTTCAAGCATCAACGGCAATACGGGTATCAAGGGAGCAGCTGCAGGGGAAGGAAAATGACAGGATCCTGTAATTGAACTACATGACACTCAAGAAAAGAAATGAAGGTCATTCAATTGATTTTAACTGTTACTACTCAGCTTCTCAATGTCTGGTTTGGCACCCTTAGTATTCTCTGCGAGCTTTTACAAAATGTTGAGGGAACTCATATTTGACCTGCTCTAGATTGCTGCTTGTTCACACTTCACTTTATGATATATAGAGGGAAAGTAAACAACTTTCACATCCTGAGAACAAGACCACAAATACATCACATTACTGAAAGTAATACGCAGAGGCTGAGATATGCTATTGACCACAAAGGTTTTATACACGTAACATAGATCACTCTGCAAATGGTTCTGTGGTTTATGTTTTAATATGTACAGAAGCAGTATTTCAGCTATTGGAAAAAAAAGGAACATAATCATCAAATTCACAACCACAGGAAAAAAAAGGTGACAATTTGACAGAGGAGGTGTCAAGCACACAGAYGTGCCAAAGCACACAAACGTTACTTCAAATATGCAGTGTTAAGCCACAATGTAGATAGCCTTGCAAAATTCAAACTTTTGTGTAATATTATACAAAAGAAACCATCTAACAAAAGGGGTTGACCCCAGAGCACTGAAGGAGGTACCAAGTGTTACAGCAGGACCCTTCCATCATCTGCCTAAGGTATGTGGAGGTCCCAAGGGAGGAAGCTAGCCACTATTCCAATTTACAAGAAAGGCGAGAGGAAAGACCCAGGAAACCAGACCTGTCAGTCTAACCTCAGCACCTGGAAAAATTATGGAGAAGATAATACTGGGTGGCCTTGAAATACACTGAAAGAACAATACAATCACCAGGAACAGTCAACAGGGGTTCACAAAGCGAAAATCCTGTTTAACTAATTTATTACTTGCCTAGTAGATGAAAGGAAGGCACTGGATGGTTTCTTTCTGGATCTTAGTGAAGCTTTTGATATTGTCCCTCACCACGTTCTTCTGAAYAAGCTGGCACGTGCAGGTTCACAGCACACTGAATGAAGAACTGGCTGAAGGGCAGAGCTCAAAGGGTTGCTGTGAATGGGGTCGCACCTAGCTGCGGACCGGGAGTGTTCCATGGGGCCCACTTATAGAGCATGTAGTGTTCAATATTTTCACCAATTATCTGGGTGCAGGAGCTGAATGCACCTTGGGCAAATTTGTTAATGACACTGAACTGGGAGGTGCTGTCTACTCTCTCAAGGAGTTTGAGGCCTTGCAGAAGGAGCTACACAAATGGTCTTTGTCCAGCTCACAGCCCCTTTACTCAGGCTGGCTATCCGATTTCTAATGGTTTCTTCTCCAGACAGTCCAGAGACCATGCCTGGGGACACCACAGTCCCATTTCACTCCAGCATCAAGAGTCCAGACCACAGAGAACACTGCAGATTTTCAAAGTGCWAATGTCTAATCTTTATAGATGCCATTTCTGCATCCTGCTAGTTAAAAGGCCATAATACTGTATGTGACCACTGTTTTACTTAACCCATAATGAAGCAGTTATTTTTCTAAATGTGTTACACTGTGTTCTATGTTGTTCTGCAGGCACAAGTAGAAGACGATGGTAGCAGCTAGTGCCACAAAGGTAATTGTTAAACATARAACTCATTAACTCCTTTCCACTTATAATCAACATAAATGCAGCAACACTCAAGGTGCAAATTCAAAGAGTGAGACAGCAAGCATGGAAAAGAGAGCAGAAACCTGATGAGTAATTCATGTTGTAATGCATGACAAAGAAAACTCAACAAGTTCTGGTCTGCCTCTAGTTCCAACRAAGTGATTTCTATCTGCCGTTTACCTTGCCTTGTAAGACAGCAATATTGACTGAAGAGGAGCCAACACAGAACAGCATGAACAATTTTTTCCCAGAAACTGCAATGTGTATGTGCATTGAAAAACCACATAAAAGAAACTTCAGAAAGCAGCTCTAAATYCACAGAATGAAGGAATAAAGGGCAAAGGTAGGCCAATCACATACACAAGCATGCCAGAAGAAAATAAACATGCCTGTATTTTAAGGATAAAGAACTGGAATGTTGAAAAGTAAAGGTAGGACAAAGAGAGGGGTAAAAGCAAAGACAAGCATGACTACAGGGTGACCTGGAAGTTAAGCATTTAASAGAGAACAGACGTGGGAAGACAACCACAGTTTATCTCAGCAAACTCAGACCTGCCTCAGTTTATAACTTGGACAGAAATGTATTTATTTGTCATATGCAAACAATCCAAACTATTGCTGCCATACTGATGGCAAAGATYTCATTAGGTGTGACTACTGTGGGACATGACTGTGTCCATACATAACCAACCCCCTGCTTAATGTACAATTATCTTAATTAACGTATTTAATAGACATTTACGTCTTCACCAAACTTGCACAGCTGACAGGAAAGAGATACATGTGGTAGGAAATTAAAAGCCAAACAAAAAGGCTTGTTTTACTGCAAGTGCCTGCTGCTGCTTTCAGGCTGCTAGGTAATGAGGGGAATGTTGGGTTGGTTTGAAGGTTTTTTTTCCAAAGTAATATAAACAAGTGTACCTAGTTGTGCCTTCTAAGACTAAGATAATTATTAGAACAAATCCACTACTTGCACACAACATATGATACAATTCTGCTTCAAAAGTGTATATCATGAAGGCAGAAAATGCTTGTTTTTATCTACAAGTGTAACTTGTGAAGAACAAGTCTAACTAGTCTTGTTTTATACCTTCACTTCCTGAGTGAAAAACAACCACTGTACATACAGACACAAAGAATGACTTGCATATCAGCTTGAAACCTGACATTCTTGTTCACAATATATGTAAGTGCTTTCCTACCTACGGAAAGTACTTATGAAACAAGTTTGAAGCAGCCATACACTCAATAAAATCTACTTTTAAAGCATATACAGAAGGACTTAATATTTTTAACATATGTAGATGTCCTACTCGCTCATTGAGCCTCAGCAATGGATTCCCTAGCGCAAAAATTAATGCAATAAGCTGGACAYTTCCAAGAAGTAAAAATGAGACAGCCTTCAAGCTGATACTTGTATCGTGTGCAACACCACATYCTTCCCTCATTCTGGCATTACTGCGTACACAGAGGGATTTGTTACCACTGCTCACGCAAGTGGAATTCTGCTGAAGTGCAATAATGCATGTAACAGAACAGGGCCTGATGAATCTGAGACAACAGTGGCCCTAAAAGCCATACAAGTTCATTCAAGTCATATGTGCCTTTTAAACATCATTTAGGCACTTAAATACAGACTGAAGGCACAAACTGAAGAATCTGTCTTTTCAAACTGTGGAAAAAAAACAAGTCAAAACGTATTTTGAAAGTTTGTTCCTTTTTTGGATTTCCATTAAAAACAAACAAATTCTTATAATTCCCAAGTGATACATCATAGGAAAACACAAGCCACTTCAACAGGCCAAGAGGGACAACAGTTTGAACTTTGCTGTGGAATCATGGTTAACTCATCATTTAAAGACAGACATCTTCAATAGTAACAAATCAGTCGACATAAACAAATCTATAACACATTTTTAGAATTCAAATCTATCTCTGCAAGCCTCATTTTCTTAATTTTGTTTGATGCCTAACTCGGGATTCAAAGAGTTTGAGGTAAGGACAGACTTGATTGGGATGTAGTAGACTGAATTTACAGCTAGTTAATTACTAAACAGTGCTGTTTAGCTAGTGATGAGCAGGCTCCTGTGCTTGCCTTGGGGCTCGCTTTCTTGATCCAAGTTCAGTGCTCATTGCTTTCACTGCTTGCTGTAGTTTTATCACCTCTCTGTAGTGTGCCTGGGAACGTTCTGATAACAGCCATGGTGATGCACATGGGTTGGCAGATGGCCAGGGTATTGCTGCTTTGTCCGCTGTATCACCCACAGGACATTAAAGTGGGGAGAAGAAGGAGGAAGTGGGGGACATTTGGAGTGATGGCATTTACCTTCTTCCCAAATAACCCTTACCCATGACTGGGCCCTGCTTTCCTGGAGTTGGATGAACACCTGCCTGCCCATGGGAAACAGTGAATTAATTCCTTGTTTTGCTTTGCTTATGTGAACAAGCTCTTGCCTTCCCTATTAAAGTATCTTTATCTCAACTCATGATTTTTCAAGTTTTTACCTTTCTGATTCTCTCCCCAGTCCTGCTGGTAGTGGAGTGAACGAGCAGGTGAGTGGGGTTTGGGTAAACTGTGACAAGCGATCCTCCTAATTATTTATATCCTCACTTCAATCTGTTCTAAATCAAACAAAATAGGCCTGCACTAAGCAGAGTTCAGCCATCTGGGGGCTAGAGGAGAGCTAGGAGCACTGCCCAGCACCACAAGACAGAATCTGAGCAGGAAGAAGTCACTGCCCAGCACAGGCTGCAGGAGCACCAAGMACATGCCATGGGGAGAAACAAGAAATGGCTGTCAGAGCAGGGGCTCTGCCTTATGCCATGTTTCCTTCAAGGCAGCACCGCCGGGTCAGCATGTCYCCCTCTCTGTGCACGTCTGGCAGGCCAGGCACTGAACAGTTTCTGCTCCTATCAGATTGCTGGAGGGGAGCTGCCTSTCATCTGTGCTTGGTGGGGAGCTTGGCAGACTGGCCAACACCAAGAAGCAAGGTGATGAAGAAACTTTGTGCTGGATATCTGCACAAATATCTGACTGGATTTCTTTYAAGTGGCAGCAGCCACATGATGTATGTCAAAATGCTAGCACATGCAAAAGAAACCCAGGACATGCATTTCTCTTGGAATASCACTCCCATACGTGGATGGCACTTTCTTAAAAAACTTACTACAAGCAAGCTTAAATTAATCCATGTAACAGCAGAAGGTTCTACCAGAAGTTTTCAAAAGACTTCAAATTCACAACCAGGCACAAATGAAGTGCCTACGACTGGGGTAGATTTTAAAGTTAATAATTTTTTAATATTTAGTGAAACCAACTTAAATGATTTCCTAAGTATCATGAATAAACATTATACACAGTATTTAGAGCATTTTTACAGCTTCCATTTACAACAGAATTTTACTTTCTCAGGGCTCAGAGGTTTTTTTAAATCTTTGTTTATGATAAAAATCTCCACAAGGTTGTAAGCTTAAGAGGAGAAGCAGACTCAGATCACCCTCTTGAGAAAAACCACAGCAAATTGCACAAGATAGACACTTAAAAAAACCTGATGCAATAATACAAGTTAAATATTGTTTTATCTATTTTATGGCTATTCTTCGCTTTGGTTATAGATGAGAAGTGTTTCAACAGATGATATCTAAATGCAGCACTTTCTATCATGCAATTTGTTTTTGTTTGCAGCTCGACAGTCAATTGCTATGAATGCCAATAATCTGAACCATAAAAGAACAACTCAAGACCACTATCATTTCCACACACAACAGGAAGTCAGCTGTATAAATGAACTACCCATGTCCTTGCAAATCTGGCTTCCAATTTGGAGTAAGCACTTGAACAGCTACCAAAGCCTCTAAATCTTCTTCATTTTGATCACAGACCTCCTCTTCCACAATACTAAAACACTGACTGAGAGTTCCCATCAACAAGTGCCCAGCTCCACTGTGGAGTCAGAAACCTACAATGAAGGCACATTAAGCACCCAGCTGCAGGAAATGCAGGTGTTCCAACTGCCACTGGGTTGTTTGGCTTCTTTCCTTTCTAAGGAAAATGGTGTCCTACAACGGAAGATGAAGGTGACTGAACATTTCCTCATTACACACTCAGCCTTGATATATGCATTATATTACTGGCACATTAAAAGCCCTGTAAGACCTAAGGAAAAAAAAAAAAAAAAAAACCTCATTACACACTCAGCCTTGATATATGCATTATATTACTGGCACATTAAAAGCCCTGTAAGACCTAAGGAAAAAAAAAAAAAAAACATGGAAATTCTGGGCTACTCAGTACAGAAGAGACATGGTGTTCGTGGAGCAGGTCTGGCAGAGAGCTACAAAACTGATCAAGGAATTGGGGCATCTCTGTTAACAGGAAAGGCTGAGGGAGCTGGGCATGTTCAGTCTCAAGAGGAAATCACTGAGAGGGGACCTCATCAATGTCTAAAAGCATCTAAAGGAGGAATGCCAAGAAGACAGTTTCTCACTGGTGATGAGCAACAGAACAAGAGGCAGTGGGCAGAAACTGATGCACAGGAAGTTCCACTTAAATATGAGAAAGAATTTCTTTATAATGTCAGCAACCAAGCACCAGAACAGATTGCCCAGGGAGGCTGTGGAGTCTCCCTCAGTGGAAATGACCAAGAGCCCTCTGGATGCAATCGTGTGCCATGTGCTCTTGGATGACCGTCACTGAGCAGCAAGGCTAGACCAGAGGACTCACTGTGGGCTCTTCCAATCTGACCCTTCATGTGATTCCGTATATGAAAGCATCATAAATGTGCTTCTGACTTCCCCTTCTATCTTAATTCTTCCCCTGTAAGTTAGCACATCTGCTTGCATCAATATAATAATGAAGTAAGGACATGTCATTAGTCATTAAATATAAAACCAGCATTTTCATTCAACTAATACACAGCAATATAAATTAGAATTCCCTTCATGAYGCTTCTGGTCATTACAAAGTATATTTTTGCTTATATGGTGAAGCCTCTAAAGGGCATTGTTATAGTGGCTGTCACCAAGCTGAGTGCAAATACCAAGAAAATGCTGCTTGTGTTATCAAAACCTAGTTCAAAAATACATTCTGCTCCTTTGAGCTGAGTTTGCTGCACTCACATGCAAAAAAAAAAAAAAAAGAGTTTTCTGCTTCTAGGCAGTTTGGTATATCATCTACACCATGGCACTGCTCTCTCCTCTTACAGAGATGACTGTTGCGCTGGACTACGCTGGATTGCAGCAGTTTGTTTCACAAGTGATTTACTGGTATTGTGTTTTTTACCCTAAAAATGCTTAACACAATAYAGAAGTGGCATATTTTACTAGGAATAAAAGCATGCCCTTTGAAGAGGCTAAGTCAGATCACAGAAGACAGTATTTAACATATCAAGCCACTTTACTGATCAAATATGACAAAAAGGTAGTTTCCCTGCAAGGTTTGCCAGTTACAATCATCCACCAAGTCAAACAAACCGGATATTAAAAATGCAAACWATTATGGGGCAAGAATGCAGCCAGATTGCCATTTTTAGTGCTGCTAGTCCACATCAGATAAACCTAAACTGACTTCCAAAGCATGATGTGGCCCATACTCAGGAACAAAAAAATTCAGCCACTTAACCTGGGCATGGATCTGAGCTCCAGGAAATCTGCACCTGAAGAATACAAGGAGCCTGGTCACACAGCCAGCTCTCAACAGTATCAATAACAATTAAATGCATGTTTCCTTTCGACCATTAGACAGAAATCTCTGATTCTACCGAACTGTTCCAGTTTAAAGTGAAACTTGCAAACCTGATTGTTTCTTTAATAATGCAAGCAGAGACACAACGCTGTTCTCCGCTGGCAAGCCACCCCTCCTCCCCAGCAGCGCTGAGCCAAAATGTGCGTGTCTAGGCCATGATCTCAGTGCCTTGTTTGCACTCCCCAGTCTTGTGCTCCCCATTTGCGCACTGAAATTCCCCTCTTCTGTACYTCTTTGGACATACGAAGTCATAAAGCACTTCGGCAAGCCCTTCCGATGCACACACGCCTCCTGCACTGCGWTCCAAAATGCGCAGACACCCGAAATACAGGCTGATGTCACCAGCGYGCCGCCGGGGGAGCGCCACGACACGGCCTGCGGGGCCAGGCTGAGCCCCGCTGCCCACAGAGCGAGARCGGGGCCGGGGCCGGTTCCGGGGGACTCGGCGGGACAGCACGGCACAGCCCCGGGASCGGGGGCTCCTCCCCGCCGCCGCCCGGCCGCTCGCACCGCCCCGCCGGCTTCCTGCTCCCACAGCGGGCTGGCGGCCCACCGGCGCCGCTCGGTCACGGAGGACTCCTGGACAAGCGCGGCACGGCCGCTGCGGGTCCCGCCGCCCCACTYGGTGACCCGTGCTGCCCATCGGTCGGTCAGGCCGGGCCGCCCCATCCGCCGCCCCGCCCTCCCCGTTACCTGCGGGCTGCCGCTCCCCGGGGACAGCCGCGCTCCGGAGGGGCACCAGCAGCGCCGAGAGCGCCAGSAGGGTCAGCCGCAGCCGCATGGCGCCCGGCAGGGGCTGGCGGGGACCGAGCGGAGGCTGCCCCGCTCGCAGAACCGCGCCGCGATCCCGAGCGGCCGCTCCGCCCTGTCCCGGCGCGGCGCCTGCGCTCGCTCAGGAAGGGGCGGGCTGCCCGGCCGGGCTGGTGCGGGGGCGGCAGCGCGGGGTCACCGCCGGGCAGCGCCCGAGGGGCGCCGAGGAAACGGGAGGAGGTCGGAGCCGCGGAGCTGTGGGCAGGCGGCGGCCCCAGTAGTAAGGAGCATGCTGGTGTCCGGGATGCCCGCCAGGCTTTGTTAATGCTGTTTTAAAGTGCCGCTGCTGGGTCGTACCTGTCAACCCCAGCCTTGGGAAAGCACCGCCCGCSCTCGTCATGTTGCGCTCTGTGCTCTCTCCCCATTTCTTAAAACACGAAGCGTTCATCCTGTGGAGTATTTCAGAAACAGCACACTGAACTCCCACACGTAGAGGAATCCTGATTTAAGCTGAGAGGCTTTATTCTTTCTTGGAAATTATCTAAATGTATATGTAGTTTTTGCCATCCTACTGTTCCTATGTCTCCCATCCAGTGTACCAACGCCACGTAATTCTGCATCTTAAACTGCCAAGGCCACCCTGGTCCAGATGAGTAGAAAGATACAGAGGAAACGTATTCTACTACACACCTCCCCAGCTGTAAGGAGGATATAACAGCTTTTTAAACTATTGTAAGAGATTCTGCAAATAATGGATTTTTTCTAGACCTAAAATGGAGCCATCTGAGGGAACCTTGACAACTCTTCTCAGTCTTCCCAGGGGACAGGAGGGAGGAAACAGAGCTACCTGCCAGAGCCATTAGACTTCCCCTTTCTCATACCACTCTAAAAAAATTCAGCTTCTCCCTCGCCTTTATTTCCTGTCCCCAGYTTTAGGTAATTTCCTAGGGAAAGGTGTTGAGAAATTTCTTTTCTTGCCATCTGCTATCCACATCTACAAAACTGAGGAAAGATAACAATTTGCTGTGTGCAGAGGAATGAGCAAGAAAGAATGAGCAAGGAGAGGGGAGGTTGGAAGCCAGCAATGGATGCTGAAGAAAGCACCGCACTGCTATGGCCTTAGAAATTCAGTGTTCTCACAAGTGATGAGGGGGTTCTGTGGGGTGTAGGATCAGTGTGGGGTAGAGTMATTTCCTCCCAGCTATGCTATGGTTGCAGAAAATGGATTGTGAAACTACCCTGCCAGTGTGTAGCAGACACTTGCATACTGACCTTTGTGCTTAAAGCAGTGCAATAACAAGCTTTTACAACAAACAAGCACTTAACTGCCTTGACTGAAGTATGAGCACTCACTGGCATGTGGATTTTAATGTCCTGAACGGTGATATGTTTGCACAACATTTTCTAACACATAATGCATTTTCTGGTACATGACAGGACAAGAAGAAATGACCTCACACTGTAACAGAGGAAGTTTAGATCAGATATTAGGAAACATTTCTACATTGATGGAGTTATCAAACATTAGAACACGGCTTCCCAGGGAAGTGGTTGAGTCATCATCCTTGAGAGGTGTTGATGTGACACATAGGGGCAGAGTTTAGTGGTGCACATGGTAGTGTTTCATAAATAGTTGGACTTGATGATTTTAACTGCCTTTTCCAACCTACATGATTCTGTGACTGAAATGATATTTTACACAAAATTAAGTAAGAACAAGGAATCACCTGCCCTGGATGGAGTTTGGGTGTTTTATCAGTTGTATCAAAGGCTGACAGTGTRCCTAAGGCGGCTGCCACATAAACAGAGCTTAATAAGGTCGTKAGTGTTTTATGACAATACTTCACAGACTTGGCAAAACATAAAAGGGGAAATCAATGAATAAAAATTAAGCCAGCTCTGCATGGAGAAAGTAAATGTAATTCCAGTTATGAGAGCTGTTCCTGGCATACCTGCTGCCTCTGCCACCAGAACCCTGTACACAGCTCCTGGAAGGGGTCGTTGTTGCCCATCACCACCAAAACATTGCCAACTTGCTAAAATGTATCCTTGTCTTGAAGTGTTACCCACTGGGGGGAGAAAAAAAAAAAGAAAAAGGTTATTATGTAAACTGTCTTGTAACTTCCTCCTTTGCACTTCACACTCTCAGCACAAGTGGTGGTCATGTGCCTGTCAGAAAAAGTCCTGACAAGATAAAGAACTTCACACATGGTAGGACAAATTTTAACAGCCTTCTGCTTGCTTGTTTGTTTGCTTCTTTGTTTTTTTTTAGCTAGCACTTAGTTGTGCCACTGAGTTACTGTGTCTTTCTGTGCATGTGCAGTAGTGCTCCATGTGGTTTTGCTATCGCTGAAGAAGTAGGTGCAGGATTTTCATCTCACTTGGACAGAAATGCCTGCTCCTTTGTTTTCATTCCACAGTTATTAAACCATGATTTCTTTAAATGTTGTCATAAAAAAATATCACAGACACAAAGAAGTTTTCTCTAACCAGAACTTTCCCCAGTAATTAAAAGAACTACCTGTGTTCACCTTCAAGAGGTAAAAGCAACAAAACACATGCACAGCCTCAAAAGAAATAAAATTATAAAGTGCTCATTAGTGATCATTTCACTTCTGCACATCTCCTTAATCTGTCAGAAAGTTCAGTGATCTTGTCACACAAACTTACAGTAAAAATATACATTTGATTTTCTAGAAGCATTATTCCTAGCTCTCCAGCAGTCATTTCAAGTGCATGCCCATTTTTATTTTCTTTGGCTACCCATTCTTTCTAAATTCACCATTTTAAGAAACTGAGAACTCTAATAGACCCCCCCATTATTTTCATTTTAAATTATTTTAAGAAATATTTTTTAATATTTAAGAAACTTTTTTTTTGTTACCTTAGCCATTTGTTAGATATAATTTGTTTGGCTTATGCTTTAATTGTTTAAAAATAGCAAAAGGATATTTGATAAATTAGTGGTGGATCAGGAAACTGTCACATCAGCTGAAGCCAGAACATAGACCTGATCTTTATTCTGTACAATGATTTATTGTGTTAGAAAACTTGCCACTATTTAACTGTGTGATAATTATCACGACTGCAGACAATGTTACCAGATGCTTTTTATCAGCTATCAGGTTAAAAAGTCATAAATGTGTTGAGTCCAGTAGAGAGAGGGAAATAGCAATTCCTGCTCTTGAAGTAGCACTTTCCGCAGTAGTGCACTGGACTTCTCATTTTTGTTCCAAGAGGACATTAAAGTTAGGAAGAGGGGTTGAAAGGAGATATTCTGATCAAAAGTTGAAAGTGGGTATTCTGAGGAGAGGCTAAAAGGCTAAAAGTGCTTGTCTTGTCTAGTCTGGTAAAAGAAAAGGCTGAAACGGAAACTTCTTTTTTGTAAATGTGGTTTTTAAACCAAAAGATTGCACAAAATCAGGAAATACAAAATGTTCCTGGCTGAATTAAGGCTGAAAATTAGAAGGAAATTGCTAATTTTAATGAGATTAGATCTTGAAAGTTTCAGACTAACATAAATGGGAACAAAAACCTCACTAGTTATAATAAAGTTTGTTTGTATTATAAATAATTATTAAGTAAGACTACCTGCTGAAATGGTGACAAGGGTTCTGGTTATCTATCTGGATTACTAGTGAACTGAAGAATATATGGAAATATTAGCTGCTAAAAGTATTGTATTTTAGAGCTGCTTTTTTTTTTTTTTTTTTTAAAGTGTATTACTGATATCCTTCAAACCTTTCTTTTTTAAAACTTGTAGGACAAAAAGCAAACGACACTCCCATAAGAGAAAAAAATTCTTCTGACAATACTGTGAAATAGTAGTACCAGAAAGAAATAAAACCTGGTGAAAGAAGGGGAAAAAAGCATTTAATTTAATAAAGAATCTTTCTGATTTCTACTGGAGATAGATTTAATTTTTTAGCATACTGAAACAAAATGCCCAGCGGACCTGCCCACAGATGAGGTAGTTCAGAGATCTGGCACAATTCTGACATAGTAAGATTAATAAATGAATGCATATCTCCATTACATCAGCTAAGAAATCAGTTGCTAAAAATAAAAATGTCAAAAACAGTTTAGAAAAAAAATTAATTGTGCCTGAGAAAAAGTTAATTGTGCTTGATACTGATCTGTAACAAACATACTGTAGAGCATAAGTAAAACATATTGCTACTGAACAARCAGGCAGCTAACCAAACAGTTAGTAGTTTGTGTGATTTTGTTTTCCTGAATTCTTCCTGACAATAAAATTTTCTACAGTTCTTTTTGTTTTCCCCRAAGAACAACATGAAACTTGTGGTGGTTTTCTGTTATTGGGAGAAGAGCCATATAAAGCCAAGGAGTTAAACATCATGAGCATGCTGSGAAATGGAGTGGTGTCTCATACTTGTTGGTAGAATTGTTTTGCTGAAGTTTAAGGCTTGACATGCTTGAGTGATCTTAGTCCTAGGTGGAGGTTAACAAAGCTTGGGAAGAAAGATGTGCATCTGTTTGTGGACACAAGGAATACAGAATTTACARGCTGCAGAGGGATTTGGCAGAGCTCCTTCTCCTTAAGGGTGGGTCGTCACAAACTCACAAGGCAAGGAAGAAACTAACAAAGCCCATTCAGCAACTGTGCTGAATCCTCTCCAACTCAGTAAAAAATAATTCCAGCAGAGAGAGATCGTGACCACCAACTCACAAACCAGTGACCCAAAGAAACCTTGCGGTTCAAGAAACCTCAAAAGGAGAGAAAGACTGAGCATGCTCACTGGTTAGTGTAAGATTCGAGGAAATAATTGATCCAATTAAGATAGAATGCTAATTAATAAGAGAACTGGGTAAYTTTTAGCCAGTGAACATTAATGCCTTTGCTAAAATGTAATAAACAGTGAAAAGTTTTGCAAGTCAGTGTGCTGACCTTCTGTGCAGAAGTGTAAATAAATCATACCCATCAACTCTGTGTGGGGATCAGCCTCTTGCACACCAGGTGAAAGACCCCATTTTGGGACAACAGGAGGATCTCTAAAATGATGCACAAAGATAAAATCACTCYTCTAAAAAGGATAAAGCAGCCAGGACCATGCAGGTATGTTTTGTTCAGGCTACTCAGGTACAATTTTTCGTTGCTTTTTCTTT